CCCGATGATTTAAGCATGTCTGGTGGCCAGTGATCTGGGCTCAGCAGTCTTCTAGTGGTGGAAGGTCTGGCTCTGGAACAAACTCCAGCACCTGGTAAGTAAAGTCTGGTAGGAGACCACATGTCTCCTAATATGTAAAAGGCTGGGGCATGAAGTGCTATTAGTGAGCATCTTTAGGCTTGCTTAGAAGCCAATGCACGTGCGATGATTTAAGCATGTCTGGTGGCCAGTGATCTGGGCTCAGCAGTCTTCTAGTGGTGGAAGGTCTGGCTCTGGAACAAACTCCAGCACCTGGTAAGTAAAGTCTGGTAGGAGACCACATGTCTCCTAATATGTAAAAGGCTGGGGCATGAAGTGCTATTAGTGAGCATCTTTAGGCTTGCTTAGAAGCCAATGCACGTGCTAGGCAAAGCCCCATGTTGTTTATTTTATTTAAAATAAAAACCAAACAGACCATTAAGATTCAGGGCACATATATTGGTAAAATAAGAGAAAAAATGTACAAAACTGTGCATAGAGTTTTATTTTTATAAACCCACATACAGCTCTACTGTTAGGAGATCTGGATAGAAACGCTTAAATTTTTAGTAGCTCTGGAGATCTGAAGGCAAAAATGAGACCACCCAGACTACCTTAAATCTACATTCATAGTGATGAAATGAGAAATACAGAAATTCAAATTTACCCATTGCAACATACAATGCTTTATCTGGTGCCATCAGAACTTGAATGCTTTATTTTAAGTGGATGGTGATTACATTGACTTCAGCCTTCCTTACTCTCATACACTGTCACCCGGGGTAGTAGGCAGGGAAGAAAGCTACTTTGCAAACTACTGATTAGGCAAATAGTGCACACAAGGATTTTGCTCTCTTTAGTGATGCCTTGGTGCTGTGAAATTCTAAGGGTGCTCAGCTCACAGGATCAGGCCTTACTATTCTGTGTGCCAAACAAATAGCCAAGTGTCATGAAATGCAGGAATGATATATCTCAATGTAAAATCACCTCATCCTAACTGCTTTCATAGGAAGTGTGGCGGGCCAGTGAGGGGGCACGGTATCACTCTAGATATGAATTGTATGTCACATGTTATTAAACCAAGAGTTAATTATATTAAGTGCATTTTGATCATCCATCCTTTCCAAAGGAGACTTAAAGACATTGAAGATTAGACTTAAAATCTGAAATTCTGGATGTTTCCTCTTTAAAATGCTGCCATTAGACCATGGAGAAGTGGCAGGGAAAACTGATTCCTAATTCTTCTGCTGACCCACAGTGTAATCTGTGGCAAATAGTTCTGCAGAAATTGGGTGCACTTGGGTGCTTTTAGCAGCAAAATGGTAGGCTTTTTCAGTAGTTGACACTGCAATCATCAGTTCACTGATGCCTTCTGGATGTGTGTGACAATGGCCAAGAATAAAAATGTGTGTAAAGAAGTATCTAGAGAAAAAGAAATGGCAAAAGTCTGTCTCTTCCATTTTCCTTTTAATGAACTTATTTAAATCTGTTGTTTGTTCATCACTTAGTTGTCAGAAATTCATCTTTGTCCAGTGAAAAGGGATTTTATGCAATTGATTTTTGCTTATTTCTACAAAAACTTTAAAATGATTCTTAATGCAGTTTTTCATCTGTGTGAATACTCCTGCATTTATCTGCTGTTTCTTTTTTTTTTTTTTTTCTTCCCCCAAATGTACTCTAGCCTTCAAGTTCTGTGGAGACGTTTTTTGATTCCCTTGTGAGTCAAGCGAAGATTCCCAACATTTTCTCTCTGCAGATGTGTGGTGCTGGAATGCCTGTTTCTGGAAGTGGTACCAACGGAGGTAGTCTTGTGGGTATCTGTCAGTCTGAAAGGGAAAAATAATCTAAATTAATCACATTCTCGCCTTCCAAAATTAATAAACATAGATCTGTTTTTAATGTCTAAAAGTTAGTGCCACTTTATTCTTTCATCCATTTTTATTTAAATTATTACCCTTCCCTTTTCTTTTTCTTTTTTCTTTGAGTCATCTGTGTTTTATATTAAATTTTGTCTTTTTAACTAAAACTTGTAAGAAAGAAGTGTTGTCCTTTAACATTTTCACTTAAGGCCAGATTCACCATCTCTGATCATGGTGAATTGTATATTATTCTGCAAGTAATGTAATTCCAGTTAATAGAGATGCTTGGAATAAAGTAATACTTGATGTGCTTAAGGCTGTCAGAATCTGGTTCCTACTCCTTACAGATTTTTGCTCTACTTATTTTTCACAAACATGTAAGTTAATGCACTTGAGAAATGTGTATGACAAAAAAAAATCTGATCCTGTTGTGCATAAGAATGGTCATACGTGTTGCATAGCTCGTGGCCAGTGCCAGATACTTTAGAAGGAATGAGCAGAACAGGAAAATTTTGAGTGATTTTCGTATCTCTACACTGCACAGCTATTTCAGGATACCAGAGGTGTCCCAAAATAGCTACCTCGCGTCTACACAAGCCGCTTCTTATTTCGAAATATTTTTCAAAATAATGGGCGCACTGTTTCGCCATCCCAGTAAACCTCATTGCACGAAGGATAAGGAATGGCTCGAAAGAGCACGCTATTTTGAAATTTGACACTGTGTAGATGCGCCAAATTTCAAAATAGCCTGTTTTGAAATAAGATACGCAGTTTGCATAGTGCAAATTGCATCTCTGATTTTGAGTTTAGGGTGTTGTGTAAACACACCCTTAGTCCCAGTGTCTGGTAGTTGGAGGTTTTCTAAGGACGCACAGAGCATGGAGTTGAGGCCCTGACTATATTGGCTAATAGCCATTGTAGGGATAACACATCAATGGACCTATCCCTCATTAAATATCTAATTCTTTTTTGAACCCATAGTATTAGAGATGTAGCCGTGTTAGTCTAGTCTAGCTGAAACAAAAAACAGGACTATGCAGCACTTTCAAGACTAACAAGATAGTTTATTAGGTGATGAGCTTTCGTGGGCCAGACCCGCTTCCTCAGATCAATATGTAGAAGAAAATTGGCATGACCATATATACCAAAGGGATACAATCAAAAAAAGTGAACACATATAAAAGGAGAAAAACCCAATGAAATTTGATTTGTCCTTTTTATATGTGTTCGCTTAAAAAAAAGCGAAGTACTTTGCACTTCTCAACATTGAATTTCATCTGCCATTGTGTTGCATAGTCACCTAGTTTTCTGAAATCCCTGTTAGCTTTTTGCAATCTGTTTTGGACTTGTCTTGAGTAATTTTGTTCAGCTGCAAATTTTTCCACCTCATTGTTCACCCCCTTTTTCTGGATCACTTATAGTTCTGTAGAACAGCACATGTCCCAGCACAGATCCTTAGGGGACCCTGCTGTCTACATTATGAAAACTGACACACCGTCCTGCCCTTTATTTTCTGTCTCTTAACCAGATACTGATTCAGGAGACGACCTTCCCTCTTATCCCAGTCTCTTAAGCAAATTAAGCAGTTATTTGGTGAGGGACCTTGTCAATAGACCTTATTGAAAATCACAGGACACAAGGGGACCACTCTTGTCCATATGCTCACTGACATTCTTAAAATATTTTAATAGATTGGTGAGGCATGATTTCTCTTTACAAAAGCTGTGTTGAGTCTTCCCCAACATCTTGTGTTTGTCTAGGTCTCTCATAATTCTGTTTCAATCAGTTTGCCTGGTTCAGAAGTTAGGCTTACTGGCCTACAGTTGCCAAGATGGCCTCTGGAGCCTATTAAAAAACTATCAGCGTTACATTAGCTACTGTCCACTCAGCTGGTATTTAGGCTGATTTAAGCAATAGTTTACACACTAGAGCTAATAGTTCTGCAATTTCACATTTGAGTTGTTTCAGTACTCTTGGGTAAATACCATCTGATCCTGGTGACTTTATTATAGTTTAATTTATCAGTTTGTTCCAAGACCATCTCTAATGGTGCCTCGATCTAGGACAGTTCCTCAGATTTGTCATCTTAAAAAGAATGGCTCAGGTATTAGAAACCCAGCGTTTTCAGAACACCCAACAGGGCAACTTAACTATATCTCCCCAGGTGATGTAAGGAATAAACTGATAAATTAAAC